CACACACACACACACACACACACACACACACACACACACACACACACACTAATTCGTTATCATAGTGTGTAAGATAAACTACTGTACAGAAGAAAAGGGTGCTTTGGTTATTCTGGGAGTTTGGTTGAAGAACGGTCAACACCTGTGCACTGTTTTATCTTACCTCCATCACCATACGTCTCCACGCCATACCCGTCCTGCAGGCCGTTACTCCAGGTACCCTCGTACCTGGCAGGCGTGTTTACGCTTTGCCTGACTCCGTAACGGCCCTTTAACCCATGAGTCCACTCTCCTCGGTAAATCCACCTCCCTTTGGTTTCAATCCCGAGCCCGTGTCTCTTCCCCTGCGCCCAGTAACCCTGATACGTGTTCCCACTGGGCCAGGTGTAGACGCCAACTACCTCGAAACCGTTCGACCAGGAGCCAGAGTACTCGCCCTGGCCCTTGGGTCCGGTGCACACACCGTGGCCGTGGGCTTTGCCATCCTCCCACCCTCCGCAGTAGGTCCCCCCATCATCAAAGTCGAATCGACCGCCCGTCATTCAGAACTTGAGGGTAAGTGTTACTCTGTAGCTTGCAGTGACGTTCCGATTTTGCGAATTGCTGTTAAAAGTGATGTAAGACCTACAGTGTAGTCCAGGTCAGAACAGGAGTCCTAGGCGGAGATATGAAGGAGCGGCGTGTACCGGCAGCGGGACTCATTGGCAGCGGTGTGCCGGGATTTGAAAGAGGGACGTGGAAGGATGGGAAGCAGTCGCCACTGCTGCCACAGCCGCTTCCATACCGCGTACTGGAAACTCCCCCACTCGTCTCTCACAAGTCATTTAGCTCAAAGCTGTCAGTGATCAAATAATACTTTGCTTCCTGTTTGACTTTTCAAAATAATACCACAACCTGTTGCGTGGGCCGAATCTGATTACATGAGGTAAAATTAATTGGGACGCTTCAATATTCATAAACATTCAGGAATGCCTTCATAGTTTTCAAGTTGTACATCGTTACATTATTCATGTCTAGTTATATATAATTTTAGTAACATAACTTACGCTGTAAACAATGTGAAACAAAAGGCAGCTTATTCCCTAAATATCGTATTTTGTTTCTTCCCAAGTCAAAAACAGTATTCGTTTTCATTCCTCAGTTTTATTTTTGTGTCACTTAGTTCAGATAGCTTGTGATCTAGTAAAGGGCTAACACGAAAGGATGAAATCCTGGAAACAAAGGCTGCAGTAAAATTACAAATGAACACTGATCATACAGAACCTTAAGCATACAGTTAATATAGATGATAATCTTGAGCTGATGTAGTGCTCTGCATTCTTCTGCTCAGAGGGAGCTGAGAAGCTACTCAAATGGATGGATAGATGCATGTGTTTGTGGACCTGGAGTTTCTCACGTGACTAAATAGAGTACTGTGACAAACTAATTACATTCCATGACTCAGTAACTTGTAGAACCAGCAATAACTTGAAGTTATCGTTTGCTGTTTGACTTCATCTTTCACACTGTTGTTGAGGATTTTAAGTATTTTTCAGTACATTGTAGTCTGGGGGGCATTCGTTTATGCACAGCTTTTCAAGGTCCTGCAACAACACTTCAGTTAGGTTGAGGTATGCACTTTGACTGGGCCGTTGTGACACCATGATTATTTTTCAGCTAATCTGGTTGAGATAAGCTGGTTTTCTTGGGATCATTGTCCCGTTGGCCCAGTCTTCAGCTGTCAGACAGGCCTCACATTCATGGATACTTTTGTCCAAATAGAATTCATACTCAACTAAATAAGAAGGTGCCCAAGCCCTGTGACAGTAAATCAAACCAAATGATCACCCCTCCACCACCATGCTTGAGAGGTGCTATGACGTGTTTAAGTTAATGTGCTCCAAGTGTGGTGCTGTGCATTATGACCAAACTATGACCAGAAGTGGTTGCTGTTTCTCCACATGCAACTTTAGAGAAATGTAAGCTGTGCTGTCATGTTCTTTTTCAAAAGATGAGGCTTTCTTCTCACAACACTTCCAAG